TGCTTTTTAACTTGTGCATTAATGAATTGGAGTTGGGAGTAAGCAGTGAAGTGGCTAAATTTGTGGATGATAGAAGTTGTTCAGTGTGGTGAAAACCAGGGAGGATTGTGAGGAACTCCAAAGGGATCTGTCAAAGATGGCAAGTGGGCGTCAACATGGCAAATGGGGTTCAGTGTGGCCAAGTGCAAGATGATGCACATTGGAGCCAAAAATCCTAAATATAAATACACATTGATGGGGTCTGAACTGGCAGAGACTGACCAAGAGATAGATCTTGGAGTTGTAGCTTTGGAAAAATTGCAGAAAAAGGCAACTAGAATGATAACAGGGTTGGAACACTTTCCCTATGAAGAAAGGTTAAAGCACTTAGGGCTCTTTAGCTTGGAGAAACGATGACTGAGGGGTGACATGATTGAGGTTTATAAGATTATGCATGGGATAGAGCAGGTAGAGAAAGAGGTACTTTTCTCCCTTTCTCACAATAGAAGAACTCATGGGCACTCAATGAAATTGCTGAGCGGTCGGGTTAGAATGGAAAAAAGGAACTACTTCTTCACCCAAAGAGTGATTAACACATGGAATTCACTGCCACAGGAAGTGGTGGCGGCTACAAGCATGGAGGTGGCAGCTACAAGCAGGGAATTAGATAAGCATACGAAGCAGAGGTCCATCAGTGGCTATTAGCCACAAGGTATAGATAGGGACTCTGGGGCAAGTGATGCTCTGTCTTCTTGGTGCTTGGGGGGTCAATAGTGGGAGGGCGTCAAATGTCCTGGCCCCACTGGTGGACCTCCTGATGGCACCTGGTATTTTTGGCCACTGTGTGACAGAGTGTTGGACTGGATTGGCCTTTGTCCTGATTCAACATTGGCGTCTCTTATGTTCTTATGTGTGATTCCCCACTTCTCCACATGAAGTCTGCTAGGTGACCTTAGGTCAGTCACAGTTCTCTCGGAACTCTCTCACAAGGCTCCTGTTGTGGGGAAAGGAAGGCAAAACTATTATAAGCCACTTTGAGACTCCTCATGGTAGAGAAAAGCAGGGTATAAAAATCAACTCTTCTTCTTAATCATCAGCAGAAGCTTAGTTCTTGATGTGCTCTAATTCATTGTGACCAGTTTAAAGAAATGGCATTCGATGATCTTAGCCTCCTAAAAAAAATTGCACTGAAATCATAGACATTTAAGCTTTTTACTCTGGTTTGGTTAAGAGGTATCAACTGAATCTCCTCTTCATCCTTTTGCCAACTCACAGTGATCCTTGTAGTGATTTCAACATTTGAATGTCCTTTTCTTACTATTCTCTCTCTACTAGCTGCATCATTTTCTAAGGAGCATCATGTTTAACAACAGTGCTGGAGACACTGTGTGTTTTGATGAAAATGGAGAACTGAATGCTGGTTTCGATGTTACAAACTGGGTAACATTCCTAAACGGATCTTTTGTTAGAGTGAAAGTGGGAAGCCTGGATCCTCGGGCTCCTCCAGGCAAAGAGCTGACTCTTAATGATGATCAGATTGTGTGGCACAGAACCTTTAACCAGGTAAGACACAGAGGAGATTCTTGTGTGTATAAAAGAACTGGGAAAGTCACATGTTACCTGTTTCAGAACTATGCCTGCCCTTGAAGCATGGGAGTATTTAGATGGAAGAGTATACTGTGAATTATATTCTTACTAGGAATAAGGCCCATTGTCGAAATAAATACAATGAGCTCTAGAAAGAGGCTCTGGGAGAGTGCCCTGGCCTTGGGCACTTAGCATCAATTTGCTGTGGCAACCTCAACAGGGTATAATGACACAGACTTCACCATTTTCTCCAGAGGAACTGATCTCTGCTACCTGAAGAGGAGTTGTAATTTTGAGTGATCTCCACTCCTCACCTGGAGATTGACAACAGTGGTTCCCCAGATTGGCAACAATGATTCCCCAGGAGGAAATGGCTGGTTTGGAGGGTGGAGTCTATGGCATTGTACCTGTCTGAGGTCCCACCCCTCCTCCAACCCCATCCTCTCCAGGCTCCACCCCTCAAGTCTTCAGGAATTTCCAACCTGGAGTTGGCAACTCTATCTCCTTCCCAGCCAAGCATCAACCTTCCATAATCTGCCCCTCACTCTTTAGCTTTCCATCTCCCCACACACACACCTGCAGCCTCTACCGAGCTTTGAAGCCCTAACTGCTATGTCACATTGGCTGGCATAGGAGGGCCATCTCAGCAAAGGACACAGAGTACACCATTTTCTCCAGGGAAACTGATCTCTGCCATCTGGAGAGCAGTTGTAATTCTGAGTAATCTCCAGCCCTCACCTGGAGATTGGCAACAATGGTTCCCCAGGAGGAAAAGTACAATTTTTCTCTGCAATGGGGACCAAAGCAGCTTACATCATTCTCTTCTCCCCCTTTTGACTTGCTCAACATCCCTGTGAGGTAGGTTAGGCTGAAAGTCTGTGACTGGTCCAAAATTACCCATTCAGCTTCCACAGCAAGAACCTGGGTCTAGCAGACTGTGTTCTGAAGCGCTGACTGCTATGCCTAGGGTAGTCAACCTCCAGGTGGAGACTGAAGATCACCAGGTATCATAGATTCTACCATAAAATCTCCAGGAATTTCCCTCCCAGGAGCTGGCAACCCTAGTCAGGACTGGTCCTGATGAGTTTTCTCCTAAAGATCAAAATAGGCATGGAAAGGTTGGTTGCTTAGCAACAGGCACTGGCCGGGTGCTGGGTCTGCCTCTCTTCCCCACCAACTCCAACCTCAGCCACTGTTCCTTGTCAGAATTACTGGCAAACCGCTGTCTCTCCACCTGGAGGTTGGCTACCCTAGGTGTAGCAGTTAGCGCTTCAGAGCAGGGTTTGCCATGTAGAGGTCAGTTCCCCTATGGCATTATACCCTGCTGAGCCCTTCCCGTCCCCAAATACTGGCCTCTATAGGATCCACCCCCCAACTCTCCAGGTATTTCCCTACTCAGAGCTGGTAACCCTACATTCCCCTCAGTGCCTGTTACTTTGATGAAGGAATAGGATTGTAATCAGTTACAAAGATTACTGTGTATATCACATTGCTTTTACTTCATTGTCTCGTACCTTTGTAACCCACTTTTTGCATTATAGTATGTCATGCCTGAGACAAAAGTTTGTCTTATTGTCATTGTTGTTTGTATTGTTTTCCTATTCTGTAACCCTGGTCCTATTGTATCCAACTGTCTGATCAATGCGTCAGGAATTTATCACATTTTTTCTAATAATTATCAAGCAAGAAAGTGCTCAAAGTGCTCAAAGGCCCCGGTCACACGGGAGGATTTGCCCCGCAAGAGGGACAGATCGGGGGCTCATCAAGCGGGCGCGATCACACCTCAACATCTGGGAAGCATCACGTACATGTCCTTGATCTGCCCTTTTGGCCCGTAAATGCACATTAAAAAGGTACTACCCAAAGAGCACTACCTTCCAGATGATGCATGGCATCTTCAGGCATCTGGTTGGGGAAGCACTGGTAGCCTGTCGCAGCCAGCGCCGTTCCTCATCCCACACATGCACACCAACACGCAATGTCCGTTTTGCCACGCTACATCTGATCGCCTGCCAAAGGACGGAGCATAGAGCCACAGGGGTGCATCGGATTGTGCTCCCGCGGTTCTTTTTGCTCTGACTCTACTTTGCCTCCCTTCAGCGGCGCAGTATCCCACTCGTGTGACCGGAACCATAATCTCCATACAACTAGAACTCTGTGTTGCCATCTTTCCATATCAACAGTGTAAGAACTGCCAGAATAATATTTGTTCTCAGTGAATACAGACTTGATGCTAATAATTCTTTTTGCTTATGGACAGGCAGTGCCCCTTTCCATCTGCAGTGAAAGTTGTAATCCTGGCTATACCAGGAAAAAAAAGGAAGGGGAGAAATTTTGCTGCTATGATTGTGCTCAGTGTCCAGAAGGAACAATTTCTCAGGATGAGGGTAAGATACAAAACAAATGGAGATGTCAATCAAATCTGATATGATAATAAGATGATGGTCCCCAGTTTGTGATCTAGAGGGAATAGGAATACCAGCCATTCATTTTTCTCCTCTTTGAATAAAAAGATTCCATGTCATCTTGAACTCAGAAATGATCCGTGAATATCAAGTTGTAGCCCATGGAATATATAGATTGCCCAGCATTTTCAAATTATGTCCTTCCTGTCTCCTGATTGGCTCTTCTGGAGAATTCCTGCTCCTGCAGAGCCTCTGTGTTTGGTGTAGTGGTGAAGTGCATGGACTCTAATCTGGGAGAACTGGGTTTGATTCCCCACTCCTCCACTTGCACCTGCTGGACGACCTTGGGCAAGCCATAGTTCTGGTACAGCTGTTCTTGAAAAAGAGCAGTTTCTGTCAGAGCTCTCTCAGCCCCACCTACCTCACAGGGTGTTTGTTGCGGGGAGGGGAAGGGAAAGGCATTTGTAAGATGCTCTGAGACTCCTTTGGGCAGTGAAGGACGGGGTATAAATCCAATCTCTTCTTCTTCTTCCTTGTGTTGTTGCTCCTTCAGCAGTTAGGTTAAACTGTTAAGGTTCTCTCTCTTCTATGTTCTATAACAATTTGTTCTTCAATAAACCTACTGGTTTTTCTCTAAACAGTCATTGCTCCACTTCCTTGCATATTTAAACTCTGCCAACACTACACACCATTAAATTGGGAGTACCCTGGAAAAGAAAGCTTTCCTAAAAAATAGCTCATCCTTTGCTTAACTGGCTGGGTACATTGGAGAGTCCATGCCCTTAGTGTTGAGAACAGCCAACAAAATCCTTAGTTGTTTGGACAGAAAGCTGTAGGAGGGGAATAAGGGTCAGCACCATTCAATACAGTTAATATTTAGGCTTGGTAAACAAAGCTGGTGGTAAAAACTGTCCAAGACTGAAGTCAGAGTAATGTTGCTCAAAGATGGTAGCCAGTATGCTGCCTTCATTGCAGGTTGCACTTAAAAATGTAGTGAATAGTTGGATGATGCAGATCAGCCATCCGATAAAAAAACATTTAACCGATGTTGTCATATGTCTTTGGGGTGGGGTTGCTGGTAAAGTTTAGCTCTTATATTGCCAAGAGAGGCTAAGAGAATTGTTTGGCAAAGGCACCTTAGTAAATTCATGGCTGAGATGAGGTGAGACTGAAGGGCAAACCACATCTTCATTTCGAATAGCAAGAATTTTAATAAAGACCTTACAAGTTAAGAACCCCAGTGTGAAAATCCTCCCTTCTTTATATCACTTCTCAAACACAGCCATTTCTCTGACCCCTTCTCTGAAAATAACAACTGTTAAGTGTCTTATAAGTCCTTTCTCTAGTATTTATCAAGATCTTGAGATATCAAGTAACTTATCTTTTTCAGACATGGATGCCTGTGTCAAATGTCCACACGACCATTATGCTGACGACAGACAAAATAAATGCAATCTCAAGGTGCTAAGTTTCCTCTCTTACAATGAACAATTAGGAATCACTTTAGCTATGCTGGCTATCACCTTAGCTGCAGTTGCAGCTTTGGTGCTTGTAATTTTCGTAAAGCACCAGGAGACTCCCATTGTCAAAGCCAACAACCGGAGCATCACCTACATTCTCCTCATCTCCCTCCTTCTCTGCTTCCTCTGCTCCTTGCTCTTCATTGGGAAACCTTTGCAAGTGACCTGCCTTCTCCGACAAACTACTTTTGGTATTGTGTTCTCTGTGGCCCTTTCCAGCGTGTTGGCCAAAACCATCACTGTAGTCTTAGCATTCATGGCTACCAAACCAGGATCCAAGATGAGGAAATGGGTGGGGAAAAGGATGGCAAATTCTATTATTATTTTCTGCTCCTTTACTCAAGCAGGCATTTGTACCCTTTGGCTAAGTACTTCCCCTCCATTCCCTGATATGGATATGTATTTACTTTCAGCGAAAATCATACTGGAATGTAATGAGGGCTCTGCTACCATGTTTTACTGTGTCCTGGGCTATATGGGCTTCCTTGCAATTCTCAGCTTCGCTGTGGCTTTCTTTGCTAGGAAGTTACCTGACAGCTTCAATGAAGCCAGATTTATAACCTTCAGCATGTTGGTCTTTTGCAGTGTTTGGTTGTCCTTTATTCCAACTTACTTGAGCACCAAAGGGAAATTCATGGTGGTTGTGGAAATTTTTTCTATCTTGGCTTCCAGTGCTGGCTTACTGGGTTGCATCTTCCCCCCTAAATGCTATATCATCATTATGAGACCTGATCTGAACAATAGGGATCAATTAAAAAAGAGAAAAAAGTGAGAGGAATATAAGGTTATTTTCTGCTCTGAGATATATTCCCTCCAAATGTCCAGATATGACAGTTGTATATGCTACTTCATAGAAAATTGTTACAATTCCACTATATTGCTTCAGCATCTGAAGGAGTTTAAGGGGGAGGTTCAGTATCCTGAAATATTTTCAAGAAAAGCTCAGAAATTGTATAATGCCTAATGAGCTAGATCCAACCTTCTTGCTGAAATTTGCTGTAAATTGTTTATATTTGATTGTAATTTATTGTTTTAAACTATATGTTATTGTTTTAAACTATATGTTATTATTTTAACCTGGCACTTTGTGCCCCTGTTAGCCACCCTGAGCCTTCGAGATAGGGCGGGATATAAATGTAAATATAAATAAATAAAATAAACCAGCCATTCTGCTGCTAAAAATGTACAAATGTAAAAAGACCACTCAAAATGGTATTGTGAGAAGCATGGGACCTGCATGTTCAAAAGCCATGTGAGTTGGGGACTGTCCTATAGAAGGGAATTAGGTAAAACTGAATGCAAAACCTGGCTGGATCGAACAAGTGTCTATAACTGCATATGTCTCTTGACATGACAAAGTGATATAGGATCACCAACCTTTTCATGGGGCCTGAGGATCTTCCAGAACTACAACTGATCTCCAAAAGACAGCTCCGTTTGCCTGAATAAAATGGCTGCTTCAGAAGGTAGAATGTATGGTATTATAACCCACTGATGTCCATGTTGATGCTCCACTGTCAAATCTTCAGGAGTTTGCCAACCCACAGTTGGCAAACCTGCTGCAGTATCCTCGAGCATGACTAAAGTTTATTGGTGTCTAAGTTGGCATGGATATAAGTGATTTACTGATTTATATCTGCAAAGTGCCTCAGAAACTGGTTGAAGATCCCACTACTTGATCTTGATGGCTGAAACTTGAGGGTCTTCTTCACTTTGTCATTTTATTTTTTTTTACTGTGTTTTATTGCAGCATATGGTTTTGGTTTTAATGATCAAAACTATTGTACAATGTTGTCCCTTATTAACCTTATTGTATTTTGCTAGTTTTATGGTTTTATGGTTTTTATATTGTTGGCTATGCGCTGTAACAATAAAATTCAATTAGATAGAATTGCTGGAAAGCATAGCCAAGATGCAATGAGGTCAGCAAATTAAGTCTCCTTTTTCACAATCAGCACCACAAAATAGAGCTTAAAAAGGAGCGCCAGACTGGGTTCCATTAGTGTTTATTTCCAATGTTACCATAAGGCCCTTTTCACATCACTGTTCTAAAATGAATGTTATTCGTTGTTGGCCCAATTTCTGTTAAAGCAATACAGTGATGGAGGTTTCATACAGCAAATTTCATTCTGTTAAGTGCTATGATCATTTCAAACAGTGCCACTTCCCCCCTCCCTTTTTCATCGCACAATCTTCCTCAGACTTTTTAAACGATCTAAGGTGAGTGCTATAGCTCTAAACTGCTGGCGTGCTGAAGTGCTATAGTGGTACCATTGAGATGTATTGACTCAATGGAGTCAATGCATTTCAATGGTGCTGCTATAGCACTTCAGTGTGATATCACGGCAAGAAAGGGCAGGGGAGAAAGCAGCACTGTAGGAAGTGCTATGGACATTTTAAAGAGCACATCACAGTGATTCAACAAAGGGGTTGAAAACAGAAAACAGCAGTTTCCCTCAAAAGCAGCTCAACCACACTTTGTTAACCCAATGCAAGTGGGGTAGTATGAACAGGTAAATAAATTCCACTAGCAGCCAGTTACTAAAACGAGTCTGGTCCCGGTCACACGGGCAGGAAACCACGGGGGGGAAGTGTGGCAGTTTGCCCCGGGGCAAACTAAGGCGCGGTTACCTGATCAGACCTCCCGTGGAGGTACTGTGGAGGTTCCGTGGGAAAGGAGAGGTGCCGATCGCAGAACAATCCCGCGCGCAAAAACGAAGTGCGCGGTGCGGCAAACAGGAAGGTTTTTTTTGTTTACACCATGACTGCGCATGCTCCGTTGTGTGCTTTTGCGCATCCACAAAGACATGAAGAAAAAAAAAACTTTTTCGCCAGGGAACATGGGCGGGCGCCGGATGCCACCGGAAACGCGATCAGACGCCCGCCCTTGCCCCGCGGTTTCCGTAAACTAGTACCTCGGAGGTACTAGTTTTTTGCCGCGTGGTTTCGGCAGGAAGCCTCGTTTGAGCCACGGGAGTGCTACACTTCCCAGATGTGCCGGTGAGATCGCGCCCCGAAAACCCGCATGTCTTCCGTCTGACTCGCATGGCTAATGTTCCGTGTGACCGCAGCCTCTGTCTGAAATGACAGAAAAAACCCATTAGCAACAAGCTACTAAATGGAATACAAAGGCAGTTTAAAAAGGGAGTTTGTTCTTCTTGTTCTGTTGTAAAACAAAACAAAAGCTAACATTGGAGCATGGGGCAATTAGTAGCAACTCTGTTGACTGTCTATCCCACCTCTACTTGCATGCAAAATAAAAGGAAAATGATATAGATGTGGCACCACTGTGGCTTTCAGAAGGAAACCATCATGCTAAATGTGTAAATATTTTAGTATGGACAAACAGCCATTCATTGTGGAGTGAAGAGTATAGTGGAACATTATAGTTGATAAAAATGTTATTAGGAAACCTCACCTGATTTTCATGTAACCATTGGTGGTGTTGTTGTTTTTAATGGACTTTGATGATGGATGCATGAAATATACTCTCCTAGTTCTGAGCTGTTCTGACTTGGATGGCCCAGGCTACCCTGATCTTGTCAGGTCTTGGAAGCTAAGCAGGGTTGGCCCTGGTTAGTACTTGGATGGGAGACCTCCAAAGAATACCAGGTTTCCTACACAGAGGCAGGCAATGGCAAACCACCCCTGTTCATATCTTGACTTGAGAACCATGTGGGGTTGCCATAAGTGGGTTGTGACTTAACAGCACTTTCCACCACCACTTACCAGCTACTTTGTTGGCAAACCACGCATCAAAACATCCTGAATGGTAACCACAAAGCAAAATCATTTGTGTGCACTTTGCAATATTTTATTTTGGACTTGTGGTGTCACTGAATAAGTGTATATGTTGATCATAAAAAAACCCTCGAGCCCCTGATGGCACCTGGTATTTTTGGCCACTGTGTGACAGAGTGTTGGACTGGATGGGCCATTGGCCTGATCCACCATTGGCTTCTCTTATGGTCTTATGTTTTTTTTTTTCTAAACTCCCCCCCCCAAAAAAAAACTTAATTGTCAAAGAAGGGGATTAGGTTCAAAGAGACAAGGATGTCCCCCATTCTTCTTCAGGCTTAAAAATTGATGTAAATTGAGCTTAACAGATCAAGGCTATCTGGGAATGTTTTGGAAAGCTGCCTTAACAAAAAACCATTAAAAGCTACAGTTTTCAGGAACTTTGAGCTGAAAATTCATCCTTTTCTCTAAAATATAATCCGGGCTTAATGAAAGTCTGAACAGCAACCTTGCCCTTGGCATGCCCACATATGCATGGATGCATCACGCTGGTAACTGGAAAAGTGGGCTCAAAAAAGAGAGAAGGAGTACAGTTGCCAACTTTGGCATGAGAAATTCCTAGAAATTTGGGAGCAGTGCCTGAGGAGGGGAAGGAGCTCAGTGGGGCTGTGATGCCATACGGCCCACCCTTCCAAACTGCCATCTCCTCCTGGTTAGCTGATCTGTATGATCTGAATATCAGTTGTAACCAGGGGTCATTTCATAGAAAAAGAGGTACAGGAGCTCATTAGCACAACTCATTAGCATAACTTATTTGCATATGCCACACACCCTTACATCACGGGAAGTGTGTCAGAAGGCAACACCCACCGCTCAGGCTCCACTGGACTGTTTTGGATTGCTGGCTATTGCGGGGGGGGCGTGCAGATCTGCCCTCACAGAGGAGGGAAAGCTTGTACCTGAATAAAACTTCATCTTAAAGGTGCCAGCCACTGGACTGTTCTGGGCCGAGGGGCTGGGGAGTCTCTGCAGCTTACCTGGCTGCTTCTTGCTCTGACTGAGGGCTGCTGGGAGCAGGGGTGGGGCTTGTTACATGTTCCCGCCCCCTGGGCTCTTTACTGCCAGAGTTCCGCTCCTGTGCGCTCCTGCAGGAAATGACCCCTGGTTGTAACCATGGGAGAACACCAACCCCCACCTAGAGGTATGTAAGCACAGCCAGGGGAGTGTTCGTGGTGCCACTAATGAAATCATTGAGAGAATGACAAGGACTGCATTTATTTGATGATTTTTTAAAAAAAGTATGATTCCTCTTGAGGATCCTGCTTGAGACAGTTAACAAGGCAAAAATAAAAATAGAAACCATAAATTGTGTAATATTAAAGCAGACAAGAAAATCAAACCATCACTTCACTGACAAAAAGAGGGAACACTTCAGTTGACATGCCTGTGAAAAGAAAAATGTTTTGCCTGTGCAAAAACAATGGCAATGAAGTAAGTGTGAGGTGAGCCAAGCCACAATGAGGAGCTGAGTCCAAAAATGAGACACCATCACTATAATAAATAAATAAATGCCTTTTAAATGATTTGCTGTTGTTCAGTTGCACAGTCGAGTCCAACTCTTCGCGACCCCATGGACCAGATCACGTCAGGCCTTCCTGTCTTCTGCCGTCCTCTGAAGTTTGCTCAATTTCATGGTCGTTGCATTGGTAACACTGTCTAACCATCTCATCCTTTGCCGTCCCCGTCTTCTTTGATCTTCAATCTTTCCCATCATCAGGGACTTCTCCAGGGAGTGCTCCCTTCTCATTTGCAGGTGCAGCTTAATTTCAAGTGAATCCAAAACAGCTTATTTTATGGGTTTTTCCTGGTCAAAAGAACACCAAGCCCCTCACTTGCTTTTGTAGACACAGAGATTGGCAGAATAAATTATGTAAAAACAACTGAGTGTACATTTCCTTGCTAGCCTCCTATACCGTGGTAACAACCTTGTTATGGAGCAACCTTGTTTTTTCCAAAATCCACTCTTTTAGATAT